CAATTTTGATGATTTTATTATGTAAATTGGTCAGCTTGAGCTCAGCTTTCCAACGCGTGTCTAAGCGATTTGATCGGATCAATAGTTTTTGAAATGTTGATTTAAATGTATGCCAAATATGGATTTTTGCGGGATACCTACTCGCAAAAAGTCGGAGGCTCGATTTTCACGATAGAACTATAGTTCTTTGGGCAAAGTTTCTTAAAACGACCCGTAGAACACCGCTAGGATAGGTAAAACATCGAAAAAAAATTTGACCCGCCCTAATACACATACATGTTCTTTTTGTTATACGATAGAACAAAACGTACTAATTGCAGATGATTCAGGTAGCATCGAAATTACTCTTTGAGAGAATCAAATAAGATCGCTGGAAGTTGGAAAATCGTGTCTGTTTCGAAATGTAAAATTGTTCATTTATTTCAAACAAGAATCTTCCAACGTGACCGAAAGAAGTACAACAATGCATTGTTATTCATGCAAATTACGACAACGTACTGGTAGCAGGAAAACTAGCGAAGATAGTTTTGATATTCAGATCGAAACCACTGAAAAAGAAACAATTGATTTAACAATCGCAACGGATCTATTGAGAACAGTAATTTCAAAAATCGTTATAATAATGGATGATATAGTACAAGATGATCTAGTATTGGATAATCTGATGACAAAGAAATATCGATTAACGTATAAACGTACTTCTGGTATGGTGCTGGAAATAAAAGAATAGAATGAAGATTAGTGATAGAAATAAAAGAAAATAAAAGAATAATAAACTATAACCATAGACATTGTAAATTCAATTGAAAACCAAATTGTAACTAGACTCTCATAAAATGTGGATGTCTTTCTATATAAAATAAATCATTATAATCAAAGTTCTTACTTAATAAACTTGAGGTATACAGGACTCACCGAAGAATGGATTTGTTTCAGTTAATAATAAGCTCTCGTGGTTATAACACACTCATCGTAACGGAAAACGAGTCATATAAGAAGTTTTTCCTGAACGTCAAATACAAATAAACAGTACCAGTAGAGATTAGAAAGTAATCACCACCGTACGAATATTGAAAAATAGGATTAAAAAACACACCAATTTAATAATAATTAACACATCAATTAATTTAATAATAAGAAGGCCATGGCCTTCTAATAGAGCGTTTGAATTTTTGTCCGAACATGGCTTTATACAGAGGGTAGCCTTCTAATATAGGGTGGCCGTCTATTTGGGGGAGGGGGGGTATCTAAACATACACACAGACAAATATTTTTTAAAAAGATGTGGTAATTTAATATCTATCAGTCGCTCTTTGCATGCCTTTTTTTCTGATAAAGAACGTAGTCACATAAGGTTATGCAAGAAACATTTTTTTCTTAGATAGCACTGGCTATTAAACAAAACACGAAGCCGACCGATACGAAAATACTCGCTTTTGCGATAGATTTCTTTCTTACACGTTACCCATCTTTGTCGCCGATCCTGCAAAAAATGTCTTCTCCTCCGACAGCTTTTTGTGGCTACCGGTTGACTGTAACCCGACACAATGAGACTCTCTCTACAGGTGAGGGTCTCTGATGCACGTGCGTATGTCTTTTGCCTTGTCGACCGCTGTCCACTGTGTTTCCAGCAATACAGAATAGCTCTGTACGCGCGCATGAGGAAGGTGTCTGATGGGTGTACAAATTCTTTTATTCATTACAATTTCTTTTTATGGACTCGAGATTCCTTCTACACTTTTGTAGATTGGGATGATTTGGCGGTATTGCTCGTTGGAGGCTTTCAAGTGCTGTTTTGCAAAAGAAGACAGCTCTTGAGTACTTGCCCGTCTCGGAATACAACGAACCGATGCTGTTGTAGGATACAGCCAAATTGGGATGTTTCGGAGGGAGAGTTTTCTGGCGGATTTCAAGTGCTGTTTCGTAAAACGAAAGTGCTTTCGAGTATTCGCCCATGTTCTTATAAACCAAACCGATGTTATTGTAGGAAGTAGCCAACGAGGGATGATTCGGAGGGAGACTTTTCTCGCGGATTTTAACTGATTTTCCGTGAAATGAAAGTGCTTTCGAGTTCTCGCCCATGTTTGCAAACACCGCACCGATGTTGTTGTAGGACTGAGCCAAATCGGGATGATTCAAAGGGAGAGTTCTTTCCTGGATTTCCAGTGCTTTTTCACAAAACAAGACAGCTTTGGGGTACTCGCCCGTCTCGGCATACACCGAACCGATGCTGTTGTAGGACAGAGCTAAATCGGGATGATTCGGAGGAAGAGTTTTTTGGCGGATTTCAACTGCTTTTTCGTAAAACGAAATCGCTTTCACATAGTCTCCTTGGCCCAACTTGGTCCATCCAATATGATAATAGAGAGGCGCTTTCTCATCATCAGCGGATGTCTGATCGAGCAACACCGTGTAGACTTGTTCGGCCTTTTCAAATTCGCGTAGTTTAATCAGTAATTTACCTGCTCGATGCCACCCTGTTGGTCCTTCTTGAGTCTCCTGTCGCAATCGTTCGGTTAGAGCACTGAGCTGCGGGTCGTTGTCACCCGTGAGGGTGAGCTTCACCAGCCATAACCGATTGTTATCGTCGATTTGCTGGATCTCACCGATGCGAAAAACGGTGTGCATCGAGAAGAGAATCTCCTGTTCTGACGAGAAGTGACTGATATTGTCGATGAGGGCGAAAGGAGCAGATGAGATCGATCGATCGATTGTTATTTGATAGAGAATTCCTATCGAATCGGGATTGCTTCGATTGCTATCAGCGAAGGCAAAAGCGACGTCTTGTTCTTTGCTGGTGGACAAGAAATTGTTGAATGATATCAGTCCCCCTGTTGATTGCATAAGTTTCTCAAAATCCGTCTTGGACAACCCCTGACCTCGATAAACAGTAAATGACATCTGGTGCTCACCCGATTGTTTCGAGTGGAGTCGTTCGATGTGTCCATGGATATCGCGAATGAAGAAGCCCATCTTGAGGATAGTGTCCACTTCTAGAGTGCGCAGGGCCCGGTTGAGCATCGAAGAGAGGACACACTCGTAAGTATACCACCAAATGGGCGATTTAAGATGGTATTCCCGTTCGAACTTGGCGAACTTTTCCAATTCAACCTGGTTGTCAGCGTACTGCTTACGACAATGGGCGGCAAGGTCTTTAATGGACTGTACATCGTAGCTGTCGATTTCCAGTAGAATTTCTTTGAATCGTTGCGTGTACATAAAGGATTGATCGAGTTGATCCAGATTTGGATTGGATGCCTCGTTCGTCGTGACAAAACTAATTGAGATCGAATCTTGATCACGCTGCCGTGCAGCTTGTTGCAGTAAGTGGCACATGGGAGCAATCCGGGTGTAAACACCCTTCACTTTCGGGCACTCTTTTGCCCATAGTTCATGCAGTGACGGGTCTCCACAAAAAACATAGATGGAATCGAGTTGGGACATATCATGAATGAGCGGCACTATGTTTTGTCCGAAATCACCGGAGACAATCACGAAGGCCGTTTCATCTTTGTTTTCCGTGAGGAAATCGACGCATCGATCAGCATCGGTGAAAGTATCGATGGTATTGACAATACGCCGTAGGTGAGTGATGGACTTCTGACAATCTTCGTTGGATTCGTTGATGTTGGCGTCTAGCCAGAGGACAAGAAAATTTTGCGCGATACGCCGTCTTGGCGTAGTGTTCACAGGTGGACCATTGGAGGTAGTGGCATTTTTGTGTCCTATCCATATATTTCATCATCATCGTTCTGCAACGACTACCACAGTCCGTTTTCTCGTTACCCCGTGAAGGTAAATGCTGACCTTTTTTGTGGGAACAGATCGATTCGACTGGTTAAAAACTTTGATAATAACAATGCGTTCATAGGTTAATTTCAGTGGAACGTAATGGACGAACTGTGTGTTTGTCTGGACGTTTTTCCATCCATGCTGCGGGCAGCTAGAAACGTTATTAAGCTGATCATGATTGTATGTCATCTCTAAGTGAAATGGTGGATGAATGAATGATGTTTTATAGCTTCTCTCTCTCTATATATATGAGATTTTTCTTTCTTTTCTGGCCATTTTGTGCCAGTCGTTATCTTTATGTTTTTACCACTCAAGCAAGCACTCTGCTCTGTTTACCGCGCGACTTCTGTAGTAATGAACGTGAATGAAGAAGAAAAAGGGCTTTTTTGTCAACATTCTTTCAAGATAAGTAACGTACCTCACAAAGCCGATGACAATTGTTCGAATTGACAATGCCGAAGGCATTCTTTCGAGCGATAAAAGTATTCCCTGTTTGATTTATCCAGTAATGCTCATTCCGTCTTCACCTGTGCTTCTTTTACTATATTGGCAATCGGAAAAAACACCCATGAAACAAACAGGTGGAAAAAAGTAGTTTGAAAAAAAGCTTCTAAAACGAATCAAGTTTGCTTTTATTCATTCTAAATTACATGTAAGTGTGTATGTCATCGTTTCGAATCGAACGTGAATTGTGAAGTACGTCACTTTGTGAGGTACGTTACTTATCTTGAAAGAATGTTGACAAAAAAGCCCTTTTTCTTCTTC